AGAGAGAGAGAGAGAGAGAGAGAGAGAGAGAGAGAGAGAGAGAGAGAGAGAGAGAGAGAGAGAGAGAGTATGGGCGCGCACGGGAAATAGCAGGTACGCAGAAAACAGTGGGCGTTTGTGGGTAATAGAGGGTACGTGCATCAGAGAGAGAGAGAGAGAGAGAGAGAGAGAGTTCTCAGAAAACAGCGGGCGGGCAATACCGACCACCCGACTACAACCCCCTCCCCCCGTACACACACACACCCATGAAAAGAGTTCTCAGATCATAAATTCCTCTGCCCATTCGGGGAGATCTCAACAAACGCAGTCCAACCTCGTCATCAAAAAAAAAAAATACAAAAAAAATTGACCCGGTTCTGGGCCCAGCCGGATTTGGATCCGGTCCGGTCCAACCGGCCGGTTGCCGGTGCAGCCCTGGTTGAATTTACAAACAAAAGGACAAAACTGAAACCACAGCAAACTGTAAAGCAAAAATTATTTAGAAATATGGTACGATCGCGGGTGAAGAATGGGGGCCTTATAGGCAAGCCCCTACTGATTGTCTTTACGCTCCCCCATCCTTTACCATCTAGCAGCCTTTTAGGGGCCTTAGCTGGTGGGTGGTCCGGGCTGCTGCTTTTTTTTCTCTCTTTTTTTCTTTTTTTTTTTCTTTTTTTTTTCTTATTTTTTTTTTAAACACGCCTCCGTCAGTGTTAGTAGTGCTGGTAAGAGCAGACACCACTAACACTTGGGGGGGAGCTCCATCTATTGGTGGGGAGCGGCACCTGCTGGAAAATGGGTCTAGCGTCCCTTACAGAGGCAGAATTCGAACCATTTCAGAAAAACAGAATTGTGGAGTATTCCTGCCAGCATTGATTGCCCTGGGGTCCAGGGGATTGACTGAGCAGGCTCCTACCCCCTACTTTTTGAGACATACCCTCTATTGATGCTGCTGGCCCACTCCCAGTGTTAGTGCAGAGGGGAGGAGTCATTGACTGAACAGGAGTATTGGAGGAGGGCAGGAGCCTCTTTGCCCTGAAACAGGCATTAGATATCAACTACTCCAAACTAGCTCTTCCTCTTCTACCAATCTCCTGTTACAACTCGCTACGAATCTCGACTCTCCCACAGATTTAGTCTGTACCGTCTATACCATACCATTGCAGGTTCACTATTGCTGACTGGTGGGGAGGGAAAGGATCGGGGAAATCTGTGGATGGTCGCATCAGGAACTCCTGGCTCACCACAGTCCAGTCCTTGAAACAAATACTATAATCCCTAGTGAGCTTTTCCTGTTGGTCACCCTGGTCAACTTGAGTAGGTACCACCTCACTACGGTCTTCACCCAAATAGAACGCCCAGTCATTATAGCCGTATTTAGGGCAACTTTCAGTCCAGGTGCAGCCATAAGGACCGGGCGTTCTATTCAAGTGAGGAAGGTTTGCGCCCCATATGCGACATGGCCATAACACCCATGTGCTCTATTCAGAGGATGCAGCAGCGCCTTGGCAGGTGGATGATGATGTGCTCTGCCGCAAATGTTAGAAGGCATACGTGGAATGCGATTGGGGTGAAGGGTACCCCCGACTGAAATCTTTTGTAAGTTGATGTGACGCCCCGTTGGAGAGTTTCAGTCATCATGTATGACACCCATGTGCTCTATTCAGAGGACGCAGCAGCGCCTTGGCAGGTGGATGATGATATGCTCTGCCACAAATGTTGGAAGGCATACGTGGAATGCAATTGGGGTGAAGGGTACCCCCGACTGAAGTACTTCGCAAGTTGATGTGACCCCCCGTTGGAGAGTTTCAGTCATCATGTATATAGTCCCCAAGACTGTGTGAGTATACATGTGTTTGTTTGAACCGCCAGTTCACTCAAAGCAGAGTTCAGCTCGTACCGGTTTTTACCCAGAAAGAGCTTCTCAATTCGGTCCTGGGCAAGTAGCGAACACAGCGGGCCACTTTGAGAAAACGCAGTTGCAGTCTCGTGAGCCTTGGAAGGCGGTTAGGCTCATGTGAACTGGTGGTTTTTATGCTTATTGAAGAACACTAGGTATCGGAAAAGAGGAAGGAGTGTTAAGTATCGCAGCTATTGCTTGCTTGTATGCTGTAATATTTTCTGATTTATTGGAAGCACAGAAGCAGTGCCTCCTTGTGGTAGACTACAGTGGTTCATGGCTTTTTTCCTTTTTTTCCCTCTTTTTTCCCTCTTTTTCCCCTCTTTTTTCCCTCTTTCTTCCTTTTTTTTCTCTTTTTCTTTTTTTTCTCTTTTTTTTCTATTTAAAGGTTTGTGGCTTCTAATTCACTAGAAGTACTGTGGTTGTGCAGCTGCCGCTGCGATTCAGGAGTTTGGATCCGATCCGAAGTTCGCGTCTACTGCAATCGAGATCCTCCGAACGTTTTCGCAAGCGGAAGTAGCCAAGTCGTTAAGCACAAGGCAGGGGTGTGATGCAGAGCCAGAGATAGCTGAGCAATACATGCGCTTGATGACAACCTTTATAGTGCAGTGCCCAAGGGTAAGGAGCATCAGGCTGTAATGACCCGCCAAAACACAGACTGCGAACACTGGTGATTTCTGAGTTTTGCCGCTGGAATGAATGCCTTGCTGAGATTCCCGCATTCCACTGAGTTTTCTAAGTCTGTGTGTGTGTGTGCTTGCTGGTCTGCGTGCGTGTCTAAGTGCTTTTCGGCCTGAGTGTGTGTGTGACCCGCAAGGGTACTTTGTTTGTTGGAGGCCCAGCAGAGACGGTACTTACCTGTGGCTGTGTGTGTGTGTGCTTGCTGGTCTGCATGCCTGTCTGAGTGTTTTTCGGCCTGAGTGTGTGCGTGCTTAGCTCTGGCTAGTAAAGTTTAAGCTTCACCCTGTGCCATACTACTAAGCTGGTAGACTTAGGGGGTAGTGTAGTTGTGACCACTGTTCCTGCAAGTGGGTAGCGCTCGGTGGACCCGTAACCATTGGGATTGTCTCCTGGGCTTGGCGAATAATAGGTAGGTAGCTTGAGGAAGGATGGAGGTAGGCAGCTAGTTTGAGATAGGCACAGTATTGAGAGAAGAAAATAGGGTAGTAAAATACAGCTTGTCCCCCGATGCGGAGAAGACAGCCGTATTTTTTTCATTAAAAAAAAAAAAAAAAATGCTGCTAAGATCGTGAGAAGAAAGGGGTGGTGCATGTGCATGGTCCATTAGCAGGGGGTTGCATTTGTCTATTCGATCTGTACCTCTGGGCCTCAGCCCTCCTCCGTGCAAGCATGGACTCGAACTGGCGACCATGGCCTCAAGAGCCAAGTATCTTAACCACTACATCCAGGACACGGTGTTCAAAAGCGGAACCGTACCGGCCGTGATCCCCGCCCCACCCCTGCAAGGCTGTAGTGTCCAAACTCGATGCACACCACACACAGCACCACACGAATTGCCAGCACGCTTTGCTCCAAGTAGCACATGACCCCCATCGGTAGTATAGCCCGCTCACTTACGCGAGTCTCTGGATTTGCCAGGAGTTTGCCCGGGGTTGATTAAACCACCTGTGCGCCCAATCTTATTTTTTCCTGAATGCAGCTGTGTTCTCAGAATGCACTTTTGCGGATTCAAAAAAAGGAAGAATGAATTCAATTTTGGAGTACAAATGTAGAAGTGTTTGGTGAACACAAAAAAAAATGGTTTTGCCTAAACAAATAAAAAGGATATGCAAAAACAAACAAGTTTGCAACTTTGGAGTCTTTGGACTGAATTAACTCAAATATTGCCAAGTGGCAGTAATTGCATAAAAGACGGTTTTTTTTAACTTTTTTTTTTATTCAATAAGCAGAGGCTACACTTTAGCAATTGCAGGTCATATAGCTTTTCTTCCTAAGAGTCTTTGAAAACCCAGAGAGTCTGGTTTCCTGTTGTTGTTGTTGTTGTCGTCGTCGTCGTCGTCGTCGTCGTCGTCGTCGTCGTTGACATCGTTGCCGTCATCGTCGTCATCACAGATGGAAGATTTTTCTTTTTTTCTGTTTTAATACTTTTTATGTCATAAATTCTCATAATGTAATATAATAGTAATAATAAATTACTAATGCGAGGATCCGGATCCTCGGCAGGCCTAAGAGGGCCCTACTGCAGATGTTCCCGCCCTAAGTGAAGGTGGGCCTAACAAGTCACGAGAGGCCCTCAGCTATCAATTTTGTATTTGGGGGTCCAGGTAGTTTCGACGCGCCAGTTGGTCGAGGGAAAACGCAGGCCGAGCAGCAGCACATTCCACGGTCTTCTGGGCCTTTCCAAGAATGCAGGCCCTGGGCGAGAATCGCAGCCTCATACACAGACAGTTGTGAGGCCCAACCGTAAGAGGCCCAGTAGCTGCAACACAAGCGCAGCATCCTGGGGCCTACCGGAAGCTTCTGGGCCCAGGCCAGTCCAGCCAGGCTGCGAAGGCAGGAGGCTCATTCCATGTAGGAAAGAGCTCGCCAAGGGCAGCCTCATTCAGGCACTCGCATGCTAGCGGCAGCGCTGCTGGAGCAAACACTCGTGGGCTGCTGGTGGCACTGAGAGGCAAGGTGCAAGCGCGTGCGGTCGTGCAAGAAGCAGGGCGCTGCTGAGGGCAGCGCCATAGCCCAGCCTCCATAGCTGGCTGAGGGCTTGGATATACAGTGAGGCGCAGGGGTGGTCTTTGGGTGTACAAAAGGGAAGACGTGGGAAGAGGAGGGAGAGAGAGAAGGATGATGATGATGATGATGTGAGGGCACATACCTGGTATTGGCGATGGTCTGCATGGGCGACACCTTCAAGTACTTCGGAGGCTGCTGACGTCAACAGTTGCATTGTCAATTAGTAGGCTAGTAGTAGCTGTGTTGGGAGTAGTCTGGGCGCCGAGCGCCAAGTAGGGAGGTAGGGACTGGATACATATGTTGGTGGTGGCGAGAGCAGGCTCTCATTGACATTGGTTTTCAGTGCTACGATTCTCCATTGGTGTCATATTGGTGCAATGCTGCTTTCTGAACACTGTGATACGATCTGGCTTTAATGTGATTGTGCAATCTGAATATTGTCATCTCGCTATTGCTCATTGTCCTTGCACAAATTATAATACTACTAATATTCTGGGTTAGGCCGACGTCCGGCCCAGACGGACCGGGCCAGACGGAAGGGGGGGGGGGTCCGTCCGACAAAACCAGACGAGCCAAAAACATCCCAGGAATTTTTTTTAGTTTTTTTTGAAGATGGGGTTGGAGTGCGCTCACTGAGAGGAGCCCGAATCTGCAGAGAAACTTGTGAAAGTCATGTGTGTGTGTGGGGGGGGGGGGGGGGGGGGGATTTTGGAGGTCACTGTGGATGCGGGTGGTGCTTGCAGCTTTTCCTTTTCCTTTTTCTTCTGCTGTTTACCCCCTCCTCCATCCAGACCCGCCACTCCCCCCTCCAACGTCGCTGCCACCGCCCGCCATAGTGCCGTGGAAGTAGAGGATGCAAGGACCACCAGCGAGGGAAAAAACAAAGTTCAAATATCGGAAGAAGAAGAACGAGAAGAAGAAGAAGAATTATACAATGAGAAGAAGAAGAAGAATTAGAGGAGGAGGAGAAGTAGTAGTAGAAGAAGAAAAAGAAGAAGAAGAAGAAGAAGAAGAAGAAGAAGAAGAAAAGAAAGGAGGAGGAGGAGGAGGTGACAAGAAGATGAAAGGAGGAGGAGGAGGAGAGGACCTGCCGATTTTGAGTTGCGTTGACAGAAAAAAAAAAAAAAGGATGACGAAGGAGGAGGAGGAGGAGGAGAGAAGAAGAAGAGAGAGAGAGAGAGAGAGAGAGAGAGAGAGAGAGAGGGGGGGGGGGGAGCCTGAAACGTGGCACTTCGCCCGATGAAGAAAGCCAATGAAACAGGGAGGAGGAGGAGGAGAAAGGAGGAGGAGAGAAGAAGACGAAGGGAGGAGGAGGAGAAAGACCTACCGGTTTCGTGATATGTCGATGAAAAAAAAAAAAAAAGGGATGACGAAGGAGGAGGAGGAGGGGGAGAGAGGGAGAGAGAGAGAGCCTGACACGTGGCACTTCGCCCGATAAAGAAAACCAATGAAATAGGGAAGAGTAGGAGAAAGGAGGAGGAGAGAAGAAGACGAAGGGAGGACGAGGAGGAGGAGGAGGAGAAGGACCTCTGCCAGTTTCGTGATACGTCGATGAAAAAAAAAAAAGGATGAGGAAGGAGGGAGGAGGAGGAGAGTGACACAGAGGGAGAGAGGGAGAGAGAGAGAGAGAGAGGACATGTGGCACTTCGCGACACGGTACCGTACAACGACGACGGGGCAGCTTTCCGACGGCGGGCAGCGACGACGAGCTGGGAAACGGGCAGGGCAGCGACGACGGGCATCGACGACGGGCACCTCGGCGAGGGCGGGCAGCGACGGGAACTTCATTGGCGGGCAGCGACGACGATCGAAATCGAAGGCCGCCCGAACGTATGTGCAGTCGGCGGAAGAATTTGCGTGGGGGGGGCGGGGAGGCTCCCAAGCGTGAAAAAACATTGAAAAAGGCCTCCCCGCCCCCCCGTGCAAAAATCGCGCTGGCCCGCCCGGCGTCAAACCGGGGGACCCAACCAGCCGGGCCGCCCGGGACCCCTGCCGGACGGAGGCTGGGCCGTCGGGCGGCCCGGAGTTTAACACAGCTAATATTGTATAATTCCCAATATTAAGTTGGCATACCTTCCCTCCACCTGCTGCATGGAAATCGTTGCAGCTGGTGCTCAGTTTTGCTGACCAGAGCATCCTGGAGAAGGTCAACTGATTTAGCGATGTACAGTCTCCACTGTCGAGATGTCGATCAGTGTGCAATGCCGAACAGGTTCGGGCCAAACAAAGATGGCTTCCACAGGTTTCCGTTTTTGGTCTTTTGGTCTTTTTGTTTTGTTTTGTTTTCGACTTAGTGTTATATTGTATCTCTCACTACTGTTCTGTGTGTGAGTGAAAAGTCGGAAACGTGTACTGTGTCTTCTTCCCTGACTCCCCACAGTTAGACTACGGACACCTCTAAATACGATTGGACACGTGAAAAAAAAGAAAAAAAGAAAAAAAAAAAGAGGATACATCGTCACACAATTCCACTGTGGAATGGTTTTCAAACTTCTTATTTTTTACCTTTGCCGTGTCCGTTGTCCGTCTTCTCTCTAGAGTTCCAATTTTAACGGATGCCGTTTAATGACTTTTCTTTTTTTAGCCCCTACGGTTGTTCTATTCATCCCAATTGAGCTGAGGAGGATTCAAACTCACGGTCTTTTTCCCAAGAGCTACGAGTATGTAGTGAACTACCACCTTTCAGCCACAATGCAGGAATTCTTTGGGGTTGTGTATCCTAGTATCCATCGCTGATTGAATCAGGGTTTGAACTCACGGTCTCTTTCTAAGTATGTAGTGATGTACCACCTTTCAGCCACAATGCAGGAATTTTTTGGGGTTGTGTACACTTGCCCTTATTCCTGGACTGGCAGTGACACTGGGGACATGTATGGCATTGTATGCCGATACTAACAACAAATTATTGACTGAACCACCTTTGCCTGTTTTGTTTCCCCCTCGCTGCTGCTGAACACATTATGGGAGAGTAGGATGTACTTGTGGCTGTTGAAGGACTGCTTGAGGTGGCGATTACACGAGCTGCTGCATGTGCGTCTTCGAGCCATCGTCTGGCTGCACCCCAAGCCTTCTCTTTCCTCTCAGGTATTTGCTTGCATCCAGAAACGAACCCTTTTTGGTCTTCTCCCTTTTTTTTTCAAAGGGACGACGGCCTTGAGATATTGTCACGAAAGGAAAAGTGAGTCAAGGAAAGGCGTTTTGTGCGATATGGTGGGGAAGGGGAGGGGAAGGGGAGGGGAAGGGGAGGGGGAGGGGAGGGGGAGGGAAGGAGGAGTGGGAAGGAGAAGAATCGGGAGAAAAGGGCAAGGGTGAACACTCTGAAGAGGTAAGTAAGGCACTGCCCGTGGAGTAAGAACAGCAGAGTTCATAAGAGGCGCAAAAGGGGGATAAAGATGGTCTAAATGACAGCAACAAATTGTCAGAATAAGAGGCGCAAAAGGGGGACAAAGATGGTCTAAAGGCTGTCTCTTATACACATCTAGATGTGTATAAGAGACAGGGATAAAGATGGTCTAAATGACAGCAACAAATTGTCAGAATAAGAGGCGCAAAAGGGGGACAAAGATGGTCTAAAGGACTGCAACCAATAGTCAGAACCTTGGAGAAGAATCGGGAGAAAAGGGCAAGGGTGAACACTCTGAAGAGGTAAGTAAGGCACTGCCCGTGGAGTAAGAACAGCAGAGTTCATAAGAGGCGCAAAAGGGGGATAAAGATGGTCTAAATGACAGCAACAAATTGTCAGAATAAGAGGCGCAAAAGGGGGACAAAGATGGTCTAAAGGACTGCAACCAATAGTCAGAACCTTGTCACTCTGATGGTAGTTAAAATAGTAATCGGAATAGCAAAAGCACTAGAATGGGAATAGCAAAAGCACTAGAATATTTACAATAATAATGCGGTGTCGTGAACGTTTGCAACTTTTTTTTTTTTTTTTTTTTTAGAGTAGATGAACTTATTGTTCCCATTTCAGTGTGGCTAACGTTACAGATCAGGAGGAGGTGGGGATTACCTGTTTTTTTTCCAAGTTTAAGGGCATATTCAAACTGGGCCCTAAAGATCGAAGAAAAGCAAAATCAGCGACAGGTAGAGTCCTGCTTTTAGAAGGACTCAACTGACTGCTGATTTTGCGATCCTGGGATTTTGTGGGCCTAGTGTGAGCGAGTATACTAACACTCGCATCTTGTTGTGGTTAGGGTTACACAGATCAGACGACAGCTTGATCTGACGCTTTCATTCGCTGCGCATTACGGCCTTGGCAAAATATTTAACATTTTCATTCACTTCATTATCTGTTTTACACAACTTTTACTTGTCTGATCAAGTTGTCTTCTCTCATTTGTCATGGTGGGGTGTGGGGGGGGGGGGGGGGGGGACGAGACGTGTGTGTGTGTGTGGAGACGTGTGTGTGTGTGTGTGTGTGTGTGTGTGTGTGTGTGTGTGTGTGTGTGTGTCTTCTGACAGCAATCTATGAGGTGGCCGCAAAGCCTTTATCCAAGGATGGAGCGGCTGTCCAGCCAGCAACAGCTAGCGACGCACTTTTGAATGTCTGCATTCGGACAGGACCTGCAGTCATGAGCGGCATCGTACATGCTTTGCTAGGTCTTCATCCTGTGGGAAAGCTCCCGAAGATCTCGAAGGTGTTTGAGCTTCAGTGTGCACTTTGTTTTCGGAAAACAGGAGGGGATTTTGGAGGAGGTCTTGCTATACTCCAGACTTGGATTGCTTCTGCTGTAAGCTGAGCTTCCTGCACCTGTACCTTCTTTCTTTTCCGGTTCTTGTGACCACTATCACAATCTCCACTACCCTTCTCCCCCTTATCGACACTCAGCACTTGGTCTGCTGAACGTATTGCCACGCAATAAATTGAGCTGCCTGAGAAGACAGATGCTTGGCGATCGTCAGCCAACTCCATGACCATTAGCTCTTTGTTTCGCTGTAACATAGTTGGTATTCGAAGAAACCATGGCATACTTGGGCATACTCTGGTGAGAATCGTACATGCAGGTAGGGGATCCATGATGCCGGCATTCCAGATATCATGCGCTGTTCGAAATCGTTGTCGAATGAAACCGTGTCCTCCAATGGCAAAGTGTATGCGGTCTGATTGCTTACTGAAAAGCCATATGCAGGTGACGAGGGGGCAAGAACGGTGAATCACCATGGGCTAACAAAAGAGGAACTTGGATCAAGGCAGACTGAAGAATTCCATTTTTTTAAAAGAGAAAATGAATGAAACACACCCAAAATACTGTGAGAACCAAACAGCAATTCGAATCTGTCCAGCACATCTAGCAGATGATCAATTGCTGAATCTTTGCGTACGGGATAACAGGAGAACAGAGCTCCTTGGTTTGGTCAAGAAGACAAGCAACCGTCTTCACCCGAATAGAACGCCCGGTCATTATCGCTGCATCTGGACTGGAAGTTGGGCCAAATGCAGCTATTATGACCGGGTGTTCTATTCGGGTGAAGACGGTAGTTAGCCAGCCGAGGAGTACAAGCGAGAGAACGCCCGGTCATTATCGCTGCGTCTGGACTGGAAGTTGGGCCAAATGCAGCTATAATGACTGGGTGTTCTATTCGGGTGAAGACGGTAGTTAGCCAGCCGAGGAGGACAAGCGAGTGCAAACGATTGAAATCGATGATGCAAGATGTTGTTGGGGAACGATGGAGTTCCAAACTCTTCGCAGAAGTCGAAATCACAAAGTGAACAGGATAGCAAACAACGACAACAAGACGAAAAGACGAAGAACACTAGACGAAAACATGCATGCTTTTTCTCAAAAAGGTTATCAACCTTCAACCATTAGAAGACTTTTCTCCCGATCATCCCCAGCGTAGAGAGAAAGGGGAGAGAAAAGGGAGCGAAGGGGAGAGGAAGAGGGAGGTGAAGGTTCCTGGAGCAATCCGTGCAATATGGAGTACCGGATCCTGGACCGAAGCAGGGGTGTGTGTGTGTGTGTGTGTTGTCATATTCACTATACACTCAAAAAAGCATGACTGATGACTGTGCCACACTGTTTCGTCAGACTTTCACCGACTCATCTTTGTGTGTGTGTGTGTGTGTGTGTGTGTGTGTGTGTGTGTGTGTGTGTGTGTGTGTGTGTGCGTGTGTGTGCGCGTTTCCCTGATGTTAATTGTTGGGTTGTGGATAGTGAAACGTATTGCTGCAAGACTGATAAGTGTGGTTGGTTTTTTCGTAATACGTTTCCATTTCTAGGTATACATAAAGTACAAGTAGAGCAGTGAAAGGACGAGGATGCTAGGTAAATTATGGGATCTGTCTTTGCCACAAATTGTGGTTGGTGACTATGGCATTTGCTAGAGGATTTCAAGTCCATATTTTTTTTATGGAAAGAATAAGCAGATGGTCCTGTTGATGTCGCATCAGCGATTTGGAACTTTGCGCTCATGACAGTTGAAAAGGGGAAGTATTGCTGTGCGCATTGTATGATAGCGCCTTTCTTCGAGGGTGCATAGCAGTAGTTCACTGTCCTCGTGTGCAGTTCGATCGATGTTTATCGATGGTTCTGAGTGGGCGGAGTGTTTGCGTGGGTGTGTTCCTCTGTTCATCGTGCGATTGTGCCTCGATGATCGTGCTTTTCTTAGAGTGTGTACAGATTACACTGTCATTGTATGCTGAGGTTTAACACTGTGAATCCATCGTTCTGGTCGCCCTCGTTGTTTGTGTTATTGCTTGTGTTTGGCTATTACACTGTGTTCCCTCAGCTACATGCGCTCCCTCCTGGCGTGTTGGTACCTGGTGAAGCAGAGATGGTGCTTTTGAGGTGGATGGAATCACTGGCAGCTGACCAGCGTCGGTTGGTTCTAGGACCGCTGCCGTTGAATACGGAAAGGCCAGCGATTGGAGGAAGGACAGTGGGGATGGGACAGATGGATTCGTCGTTAAGATGTGTTCTGCGAGAATTCATAGAGAACCACAGGTACACAACATTGCAATAGCATTCGTTCTAGCAGGGAGAGAAAGGGAAGGGAAGGGGCAGGGGAGGGGGAGGGGGAGGGCAGGGAGTGCTTGCTATTGTTTAAATTCTGTGCCTTGTGCTTGCTCGATTCATCGATCCATTTAGCTCAATAAAGGCTCAATCTGTGGAGTGGCTGCAGTCCATTTCTATTCTCCTTGGCTGTGGCAGTGCTTTCACATGTTGCCCCATCCATACAACCTTTGAGAATCTTTGTTAAACATTTTTTTCCCATTTTATGCATGTGCATTTGTGTGCATGCCATCAAATGAATGCTGCGCACACTTGAGAGAGAGAGAGAGAGAGAGAGAGAGAGAGAGAGAGAGAGAGAGTTCCAGGTGGGGTTGAAGGAAGAGGGGGTGAATTTGTGCCTTGCGATTAGGGTTGCAGGTGGGGTGGCCAGAAGAGGCTGTGAGAATTTGTGCCTCATGCGGTGGGTTTACGTCGCAGAGAGCTGGTGTCTGAGCGCCTTCACATGCATCACTGAGCCAGTGAAAGATGGGTAGGAAAGTGCGGACGTCGTATGTAGACAGGTGCACGTGTTGCAGAGGAGAATATAGAAAACGCATTTTGGTGCATGTATGTGTCGTAGAGAGATCGTCAATCTGTCCACCTGCAAGGAGATTGAAGTCCAGAGCATGTGTGCATACCTGAGGGGATGATGAAGCGGGGTAGAGATGGATGAGTAGCAGAAAAAGGCGTCACGGGGAGGAATGGGGAAAGGTTGGTGTTTTCCCTCTGTGGATTGCATTCGTGATTGCTGCAGAGATGCAGGGAGAGTAGTATGTTACCTGGTGGCTTTTTCACGGCAGGAAAAGTTTGTCGCAATTCCTGATCGTCTCGTTGAGGATCGATGATGATGATGATGATGTTTAACCGGACGGAGTAGACCCGGACAGAGTAGATAGCCTGCAGATATATTGTTGCAGTTACTGAACTTACTGTATCATTACACGGCATGGTCCATGAAGTCTCTTCTTCGTTGCGAAGTGACTTTGGTGAAGTAAATGCTTTCCCGATACGAGTGTGGAACGAAAGCGATTCAGCAAACACCTTCTCAGAGGCCAAGGTGGTAAATCCACCTTCGCTTCAGAAGGTGGCTAATCCACGAAGTTGCACGAGCGTAGAAATGTCAGCGGTTAGTTAGGACGTCCTGCTCAAGGCCCTTAGCCGCCCTTAGGGGCCCTTAGTGGCCCTTAGTGGCCCTTAGCTACAGAAGGTGGTAAATCGACGAAGGTGCAAGAGTGGAGGGCTTGGGCAAGTGGTAGCTTTTATCTTGTCGAGTTCTCAACAAAGGATTCACAGATTTTGACTTTCGTCACGACAAAATGCTGGCAAGATTTCCGCCTTCGCTTCCTGGTTCAGGTTGAGATGGGTGGGTGGGCATTTATCACATCAACTGATACGAGCAGAGAGCTGATATAGAGCCGACCTTATAGCATCGAACGAAGTATTCTGCAAAGCAGCAGGTACAAACAAAACCAGTATCCATCCCAGCTGTGTCCTGTGTGCACGCGCCGGTTGACGTGGCGCCGCAGAAAAGCTCGACCTACGGGAAGAAAAAGAAGTGGTTGGTGGCGCCAGGTAGGCGGTATGCCTTGTCCGAGCAATGGTTCGGAATGCGAGGGGGTGGTCAAAATGTGTATTGGAAGAATGAGCCTGGTAGGTACTTACTACTTATATATGGTTTAACAGGAAAATGCCATCAGATCATGGATGGAGGCCCTGTTGCTACACTTTTATTTTGAGGCACTTGTGTGTCAGGAAAGAGCACGGACACTCAGGTTTGACTGGAAATCTATTCTTGCAAAATTTTGGTTGCTATTTTCAGTGCAATACCACCCCTTCTCTCTCTCTCTCTCTCTCTCTCTCTCTCTCTCTCTCTCTCTCTCACGGACACTCAGGTTTGACTGGAAATTTATTCTTACAAAATTTTGGTTGCTATTTTCAGTGCAATACCACCACTCTTCCCCTCCCCGTTTGCTCCCAAACAACGACCACCACCACTAACCCCCCCCCCCCCCCCCCCCCCCCCCCCCCCGCACACACACACACACACACACACACACACACACACACACACACACACACACACGCGCGAAACAGTCTGGCACGGTCTTGCTTTTTTTGACTGTATAGTGAATATGACAAAACACACACACACACACACACACACACACACACACACACACACACACACACACACACACATGCACACAAATGCACACACGCACACACACACATACACACAAACACAAACACAGGAGTTTGTGGAAGTGCGAGGGAATGGTTTCCTGTGAGGAGTTCTTTGTGGTCTTGTACGATGACATAGGCACTGCTCCAGCAGGTGTGGTTTTATTTTTATGGACTGTGGTTCATGTAATTGTTCTTAGATGCTTTTAATTTATTGTTGAAGTCTGAGCTGTCAGAAGCTTTGTTCTAATAATCCTCTTGCCTTTGGCCAATTAATTGAGGATTTTTGTTTTTAGTCTTTTAGATGCTTTTCGTTACTGTTGGTGGCCAACTAATCGAGGAATCTTCCATTCACATACGGTGAACTTATGATAGAGGAAAATCCTATCAGCTTTGACTGTGTGCTTGCCCATCATGATGACGGTCATTTGTCTGGGGGTGAATGTAGCCCAAGTAGAGCCTGAAAGCAAGAGCATTAATTGATTTGATCCACGACTCCGTTCTGGGTGCGCTTGTCCATATGCGCCTGTTATAGTAAATTGTTTTCTCTACCGTGTTTCAGCGCATGTATGGTGAATGGGAGGTTCCACAATATCCACATGCCTTGCCACGTCTGGTCGGGTATCCCACCTACACCTCGCATTTGCGAACTCCCCATTCAACTGCATCTCGGAGACACGGTCGGAGATCTTCCAAGCACTGGCTAAATCCAGTGATCTCCTTTCACGACAGGCTGTGGTCCCCGGAACGAGTTGTTCATTCCAGGTGTCTTTCATGCATGCTCAAGGTGTCTTTTTTTTTCTTTTTCTTTTTTTTTTTTTTGAAGTCCATGGTCTTGTAGACGCCAGTCACTGGAGCAGTAGGTCGTGGGTGTCCTGGAGTATGAGACCACCTTCCATCCCATCCTCACGTCAATACTCCTAGCGCACCCCCTATCCCACTATCCTACCTCAGTGTGACCAGCACTGAGGACCATTACCCTACCAATGGGCAGGTATCTTGGACTGGACAGCAGTGATAGGCACCAGGGCTGATAGGTTGCCCTGCTCAGCCCTGGTGGAAGCGGAATTGGACGAGCCTTGTCGAACGGGAACTTTGGACGCCAGGCCCAGACAATCTACTACAGGTCCCAAGAGACTCTGGGCCCTAGGTTTCAGACAGGGTAGCACCCATTGAAGCAGTCTTACCGTCCTTCCCCTAGGTTACCCAAGGCCAGGCGGAACTGGCCTGAGCGACTTATAGTCTTATACCCTTACCCTTTCCCCAGGGTCTAAGCCTTACATATAGCCACTGGACAGTTCTACTCGAATGTCAGTGGGAACTCCGGTGGCCCATACCTGTCCCTACCGCAGATACTAGACCCCACCCAGTGACTAGACCCCCCCAGTCTGATAGTTGTGTAGTTCGAAATGTATGTGTATACCCGAAGGTGCTTCTTGTATCTATGTATGAAGATGTACAGACAGCACTGTGTGTGGAAACTTGTGTATGTAGCCCGTAGGCCATGTATAATTCGCAAGCTATGTATATGCCCGAAGGCTGTGTGTGCTCTGCGAATCGAATGTATCGAGATGTATAGGCAGCATCATGTGTGTATATCGAAGAGAGAACGGGGTAAGCTGGACAAGGACCCCCCCAAGATCCGAGCCAAGCTCGAACCCGTGAACTTGAAACATGTAATCGTATGACTCTACCATGTGAACAGCTAGTGGAAATGGCACGAATGTGTGATATGCCAGACTGGGGAGATCAACAGAACACCCAAGACCAACACCCCCAAGCAACCCATGTGAAGCCCAGAACCAACATACAGCACCGTGAACGGTTGGGTGGTGCGCAGGCAGTGTCTGTAATAGTACCATGCGTCAGCCCAAGGGAGTGTGTCCAGCCCTGCATCAATCTAACGCCCTGCCGGTGTCCATGCGCAAGGTTGCAATTGAGTTTTGAACCCGCAACCTCATACCACAATGCGCATTTCCAACCGGTGCTCTAAGCCTCTAACCACTGAGCCACATCAAGTGGACTCTCCAGGTGTCTTTCATGCATGCTCCACGCATGAAATAAGTCAGGGTGCTTCTTAGTACACCTTCCACTAGGTGAAAATCCTGTAGGAGAAAGCTTATTCCTTCCATTTGTTCATTCGTTGGGGTGTGTCAGCATAGCAAAACCTTACGTACGTGAGTCTTAAGAGGTTCCCCAGCAAGAATGTATTGGGCTCTCCACTTTGCTGGTCTACACCACCCCTTTTGGGGGATAGGTTCGTTGCGGATGTCCTTTTCGGCTTGCCCATGTAGGCGGACGTTGTACTCTGTGAGATGGCTATCATAGCGTCATCCGGCGGCCCCAAACCATCCATAACACATGCTTTTTGTCAGTCTGTTCGCCTTTCCCTCCGCCTTTCCTCTCTCCATTGTTCTCTTTTCCACCATTACTTCTTGTCTGGATCCTTTTTGCTGCAGGTGTCCTTCTCGGGTTTGCCCATGTAGATGGACCTTGTACTTTGTGAGATGGTTATCATAGTGTCATCGTCACAGGGTGGACGGCAGGCTAGGAATTCGCATGCAGTAGCATCAAGGACGCTGATAAAGATGCCTACCCTGGCAAGCCAGTAGTCTGTCCTCTCCCCTTGCTGTTTTTTTTTTTTTTTTTTTTTTCCCCTTCCTGAATACATCGAATTTTGAAAGTTTGAGATACCGGGGCCATTACCCGGCTTTGACTGAGAGAACTTTGAGAGAATTTTAAGCTACTTAGAAAATAACTACGACAAACTACAGAAAACATGTCTGCCCACAACAAAACATGCCACCACAGAGGTCCTACAAATGCTCAAGACCCTGTGGATCCCTAGCAACCCTTCTAAAGCTCTCCGGCACTGTCTTACTCCCTGCCGAGCTCTTCCAGGCCTCACACCCCCACCCTGCTGGGGTACAGAGCCGCACGACTCGCCCCAGCTCCGGCCAGCGTCGTCCCAGCAGCAAGCCTTGGTTGTCCCTTGGAATGTCCACCCCAAAGCATCCCCAGATCTCTCTAGCAGGCCTCACACTCCTGCATCAGCAGGTTACAGGGCAACACCCCAGCACCGGCCAGCGTCATTCTGGCATCGAACAGCCGCAGATCACCGAGTATATCAGCAATGGAGCCATCTAAGATGAGTTGCTAGAAGTCCCCAGAATCTTAAATCATTCTTAAGACCCCCATTGGCAACCAAAACCAACGAACCATGGATAAAGGAAAAACTCAGAAACATTCATGGTGACTACTCAAAACTCTACCAAGTCACTAGAATATGTGTCAAAAAGCCTCCCAACCACGAATCAGGTAGGTGAAACCTATTCAATCCACCTACAGCCACCTCCAGCATGGCTGTTTTCAGCACGAACCGAAGCTCTTCCAGGCCTCATGCTCCCATCAGGTTAGGTTACAGAGTTGCACCACCTTGCTCCAGCACCGGCCAGCATTGCGCCAGTTACGACCCCCGACGACCACTGAGACTGCCCCCGTAAACAGCCCCCCAGATCTCTTTACCGGGCCTCACGCCCCCACTAAGCTAGGTCACAGAGTTGCGCCACCTGGCTCCGGCTCCGGCCAGCGTTGCTCCAGCATCGGTCTTCGAGGGCCACCGAATTTTTGGCCACCCTTCGCAGGATCACAGATGACTTGCCAGGTAGCACCTATTCCTACGACCTCCTCGAGAGGCAAACCAAATGGAAAGAAATGGAAAGAAATACTAAACTGGATGTTAGAATTCTTCGAGAGAGATCGCCCCTTCCTATCCCTCCCCCCTCAGCCCTACACTGCCTCCGCCGAGGTGAGTCACCCACTCTCCCTCGGCCTCATATAGGACCAACCCTCTACCCCTCTTTCCCCAGGAGCACGCAGTTCCCACCTAAAGCATGCCCCCCCACCCCTTACCCATTTCTGCCTCCACTGGGACTGACGTTGACCCACACACCAGCCCCTGCCCCAGAATAGGGCAACCCCCTACTCTGCCCCTACCTTCTTTAAGACATTCACCCCCCACCTTGTGATGCCCCTGCAAGGTAGAGCTCCCCCCACCCCCTTCTTACCTTTCAGCCCTCCAGGAATGATCCGAGCCAGCTGACTACGGTTATTGATGACACACTTACCAAAAGGTCGATCGCAATAGAACAGATCCCTACGAATTGTGCTGTCGATCCAGAATGGATAATATATGTTTGTGTGTATGTGTGTACATGTAGATGAGAATACTTTACTTGGGACTTTTAGAAATTATAGTCGAATTTCAAGGGTATGTGTGTATGTGTGTACATGTAGATGAGAATTTGGCTGATCAGAAAATAGAGGATAAGATTGTGAGTTTATTTTTCCAATTTTGAGAAGCTGAATTTATAATTGTGTATGCACTAGATTAGAACAAGAATATAGGAAATTAGAAGATACAAAATTAAGATCAGTGAATCAAATTGAAACGGCAGCCGACGCGAAGAGCGCCACACATGACGCGAAGAGTGCCACACATGTTGACACAAAATTCTCCTGCTCCATCGCCGCTGTGATTATTGTCCCACTACCTGCTTCTGCGTCTTTAACCGGCGAACCAGCTCAAACGAACGCTTGAAACCGCCAGCTCTTTTTGACGCTCCAGCTTGTAACAAGCCTCTCTCCTCCCTCCGCATGGGAAGATGCTCCTCACCTTCACCTGCTACCCGCACTGCCCAACCAACCTCCACTAGATTCGCGCAGGAGCATAAGAGCAGGGCCACTACCATGCCCTAGATCTCATGAAGACTA